CCTGTTGTTTCCTGACTTTTTAATGATTGCCATTCTAACTGGTGTGAGATGGTATCTCATTGTGGTTTTGATTTGCATTTCTCTGATGGCCAGTGATGATGAGCATTTTTTCATGTGTCTGTTGGCTGTATGAATGTCCTCTTTTGAGAAATGTCTGTTCATATCCTTTGCCCACTTTTTGATGGGGTTGTTTGTTTTTTTCTTGTAAATTTGTTTGAGTTCTTTGTAGGTTCTGGATATTAGCCCTTTGTCAGATGAGTAGATTGCAAAAATTTTCTCCCATTCTGTAGGTTGCCTGTTCACTCTGATGGTAGTTTCTTTTGCTGTGCAGAAGCTCTTTAGTTTAATTAGATCCCATTTGTCAATTTTGGCTTTTGTTGCCATTGCTTTTGGTGCTTTAGACATGAAGTCCTTGCCCATGCCTATGTCCTGAATGGTATTACCTAGGTTTTCTTCTAGGGTTTTTATGGTATTAGGTCTAACATTTAAGTCTCTAATCCATCTTGAATTAATTTGCGTATAAGGAGTAAGGAAAGGATCCAGTTTCAGCTTTCTACTTATGGCTAGCCAATTTTCCCAGCACCATTTATTAAATAGGGAATCCTTTCCCCATTTCTGGTTTTTCTCAGGTTTATCAAAGATCAGATGGCTGTAGATGTGTGGTATTATTTCTGAGGACTCTGTTCTCTTCCATTGGTCTATATCTCTGTTTTGGTACCAGTACCATGCTGCTTTGGTTACTGTAGCCTTGTAGTATAGTTTGAAATCAGGTAGCGTGATCCCTCCAGCTTTGTTCTTTTGACTTAGGATTGTCTTGGAGATGCAGGCTCTTTTTTGGTTCCATACGAACTTTAAAGCAGTTTTTTCCAATTCTGTGAAGAAACTCATTGGTAGCTTGATGGGGATGGCATTGAATCTATAAATAACCTTGGGCAGTATGGCCATTTTCACGATATTCATTCTTCCTACCCATGAGCATGGTATGTTCTTCCATTTGTTTATGTCCTCTTTTATTTCACTGAGCAGTGGTTTGTAGTTCTCCTTGAAGAGGTCCTTTACATCCCTAGTAAGTTGGATTCCTAGGTATTTTATTCTCTTTGAAGCAATTGTGAATGGAAGTTCATTCATGATTTGGCTCTCTGTTTGTCTGTTACTGGTGTATAAGAATGCTTGTGATTTTTGCACATTAATTTTGTATCCTGAGACTTTGCTGAAGTTGCTTATCAGCTTAAGGAGATTTTGGGCTGAGACAATGGGGTTTTCTAAATATACAATCATGTTATCTGCAAACAGGGACAATTTGACTTCTTCTTTTCCTAACTGAATACCCTTGATTTCTTTCTCTTGCCTGATTGCCCTAGCCAGAATTTCCAACACTATGTTGAATAGGAGTGGTGAGAGAGGGCATCCCTGTCTTGTGCCAGTTTTCAAAGGGAATTTTTCTAGTTTTTGCCCATTCAGTATGATATTGGCTGTGGGTTTGTCATAAGTAGCTCTTATTATTTTGAGATACGTTCCATCAATACCGAATTTATTGAGAATTTTTAGCATGAAGGGCTGTTGAATTTTGTCAAAGGCCTTTTCTGCATCTATTGAGATAATCATGTGGTTTTTTTCTTTAGTCCTGTTTATATGCCGGATTATGTTTATTGATTTGTGTATGTTGAACCAGCCTTGCATCCCAGGGATGAAACCAACTTGATCATGGTGGATAAGCTTTTTGATGTGCTGCTGGATCCAGTTTGCCGGTATTTTATTGAGGATTTTCGCATTGATGTTCATCAGGGATATTGGTCTAAAATTCTCTTTTTTTTGTTGTGTCTCTGCCAGGCTTTGGTATCAGGATGATGTTGGCCTCATAAAATGAGTTAGGGAGGATTCCCTCTTTTTCTATTGATTGGAATAGTTTCAGAAGGAATGGTACCAGCTCTTCCTTATACCTCTGGTAGAATTCAGCTGTGAATCCATCTGGTCCTGGACTTTTTATGGTTGGTAGGCTGTTAATTATTGCCTCAATTTCAGAGCCTGTTATTGGTCTATTCAGGGATTCAGCTTCTTCCTGGTTTAGTCTTGGAAGAGTGTAAGTGTCTAGGAAATTACCCATTTCTTCTAGATTTTCTAGTTTATTTGTGTAGAGGTGTTTATAGTATTCTCTGATGGTAGTTTGTATTTCTGTGGGGTCGGTGGTGACATCCCCTTTATCATTTTTTATTGCGTCTATTTGATTCTTCTCTCTTTTCTTCTTTATTAGTCTTGCTAGTGGTCTATCAATTTTGTTGATCTTTTCAAAAAACCAACTCCTGGATTCATTGACTTTTTGGAGGGTTTTTTGTGTCTCTATCTCCTTCAGTTCTGCTCTGATCTTAGTTATTCCTTGCCTTCTGCTAGCTTTTGAATGTGTTTGCTCTTGCTTCTCTAGTTCTTTTAATTGTGATGTTAGAGTGTCAATTTTAGATCTTTCCAGCTTTCTCTTGTGGGCATTTAGTGCTATAAATTTCCCTCTACACACTGCTTCAAATGTGTCCCAGAGAGCACACTTTCATATACCTGTTTGTGATTTGTATATCTTCTTTTGCAAAATATCTATGAGATCTTTTGTCCACTTAAAAATTAGATTATTCAAGTTTTTACTATGGAGTTGTTTAAGCTCCTTATATATTCTGGTTATTAATCTTTTATCAAATGGGTAGTTTGCAAATATCTTCTCCCATTCTGTGGGTTGTTTTCACTTTGTTGATCATTTTCTTTGCTGTGCAGAAGTTTTAAACTCGATGTGATCACATTCCTCCATTTTTCCTTTGGTTACCTGTGGTTATGGGGTATTACTCACTAAATCTTTGCTCACTCCAATGTCCTGAAGAGTTTTTCCAGTGATTTATTGAAGTAGTTTCATAGTATAAGGTCTTAGATTTATGTCCTTAAGCTATTTTGATTCGATTTTTTAATATGGTGAGAGACAGGAGTCTAGCTTCATTCTTCTGCATATGGATATCCTTTTCCCCTCACCATTTATTGAAGAGACTGTCCTTTCCCCAATGTATATTCTTGGCACCTGTATCAAAAATGAGTTCACTGTAAGTGTATGGATTTATTTTTGGGTTCTCCTGGTATTTGATATGGTATTTGATTGGTAATCAATCACATTTACAGAGGAAAAGTAATGTCCAGATTGATTGATGGACTTGACCAAGGTTTCTCAGGGAGTAAACAGTGAACTGAGATTTAACCACAAAGGAACAATATTTGCAGCCATTACTCTTTTTGAATTTTACCAAATTAATTCATAAGAGACAATCAAAATTCAGTATTATTATGTGAGAAGATTTATTTTATGATACTCTACTATTTCTCAGGTAATATTAATGAGAGTTTTATTTGATACATGTTGAAAATTTAGCAATAGAATAACTTGAAACATAAATATTATTTACTTTTCTTTCTCCCTCTTAGAGGCAGATGTGCCCTAATAATAGAATGTCTATTAATAATGCCTTATGTCTTCACCCTACTTCTATCTGTACACTAATGTTTCAAATTGTGTCTAGTCATTATTTTCAATAGTTTTTTTGTAGTTTATTTAAGTTTAGCAAGAACAAAGCTAAAGTTACATCTTTGGCCCAAACAACTATTTCAAAGATTTCTTATTTAAGGTAATAATTTTGCAATCCACTCAGTTGTGCAAAAAGAAACCTCTAGCACTTCAAATAGATTTGTTAATAACATATGGATATCTTATTTAGTGGAAGTTATTCTTAATGCCTTTGCCATTTCTTTTTAGAAAATCAATCACTCTCTGACCAAATTCTATATATGAAATGTGTCTTATGTCTGTCTTTCTTCCCTGTGCCTAGTCATATTTTAAGAATATGATATATTTCCTAAACTTCAATTTTTCATTTAAAATTGTCATAATTTTTTAAAACTTCATTCCTCCCATATAGTTATGTACTTATATTGTGTTTTTCATTTTTTATTAGATAAATATATTTTGTTAAGTAGAGTATTTAGAATGTAAATGTTACAATACATTGTTACAAGCAATGGAAATTCATCTCAAATGACATAAAGGATGGAGAAATTGTGAAGCCTTTACTACTTTCAATTTAAAAAATAATATTCATCCTGTATACTTACAACGTCTGTCCCCACTCCTTCTAACCAAGACAAATACCTACTCATTTCTTTCCAGGGAAGATAGATTCCTGAGTTTATTAGGTATAGGAACACAGCAAAAATATTTAGTCCCTTTATTTTTCTCTTCTGCATAGAGATAAGATAGTTCTTCTCTATTATCAATATACCATAAGAGTCACAGGAGCACAATCTCATTTGAAGGAAGATTCCATGGAGTTTTGAGTAATGTATTCAAATCAAATGGACATTAAGGATGTGGTTCATTAGCCAGAAACCTTGAAAAAGAGACTAGGAGTGGACTAACTGAAATAAGAACTAAACCATGAATGGTTTGGGAATAAACATGATAAATTGGTAATGGCCATGTCAAATTTAAGTCACCTGTAAAATTCAGGTGGACGTATTTGGGATGATGTTTCATATCTAGGTTAAAAAGTTGAATTTTCTGAATTAGGTAAGTTTAGACAAAAGTAATAGGTAGAATGTTGCAGAAAAAGTCAGAAAATGTTATCGTAGGGGTTACTACAGAGTAAATAGTTTCTTTTAGGTGAAGGAGAAACTGATTCCTAGAAACAGGGCTTCACACAATAGGGCATTAGTTATACGTAAAGTATGCATGGAACTGAGTGAAGTTCTGGCCACATGGTCTCTGGCAATTAACCTTGAGCCAAAGGAGTCTGTAAAATATAAGTTGATGCCCCTTGACCTTAAACTTTAGATGCACAACTAAATATTGTAAGAAAGAGTGAGGTGAGATCTCTGTAAGTGTACAGTAAATATGCTGTTTTCTAATCTCAGTCTGTAGTAAGATTCTTTAGAGTAAAGCTGTTATACAGAATATTGATGTGTGGTTTGTTCATTTTCAGCAGCTTCTGAACAGTCAACAGGCACCAGGTAAGCTGTTTCCAAATCTGTAATAGGCATGTTCATATGTATTACAAGACCCAGGTAGCTTGATTCTCTAGCAAGAATAAATTCCCTAGTTTCAATAAAATAAAAAATGGAATTAAAAAGTTTACTGAACATTACTTAAGGCTGAAGTTATTAAAGATATGCTTTTAAAATTCCTCCTTTTAAATCAATGCATTGGATACAGTTAGTGGAACTGTAATAAAAATTGCAATTTATCTTCCTTAAATTACTCAGAATGAGAAATCATATGTACACACTTAGACTTAAATGTAGTTCAACCCATGTTTTCTTAGTGAATTGGGCTACATTTTGTAATATTTTGTGATCAGCACTATTAGAACATCAGGCAACTTTATTAAAAATATTTATCAGAGGTAGATATGGGAAATTATATTATAGCTAATTATATAAAGAAAATATATATTTTGAACTATTTTCAGTCCAAAATGATTTCTTTATATGTCTTCTTAGTTAATTTTCAAATTAAATGCATCTGGGGAAAAGCTAAAACATTTATTTCATGAATAAACATATTATTTGCATATAATAAAATGATTGCTAAATTGATGCGTCTAATTAAAGCTCAATTAACTTTACTAGTAAAATATAAAGCTATTTATAAATAGTATAGAATACAACCCTTACAATAAAGAAAAAATATTTCTCAAAAAATAATGTATCCACTTACACAGTAATAACATTTATTTTCTATAATTAGCTTCTATTTAAAGATCCAACTACTATATAAGAAATAAAGTAGGTTCCAACATAGCACCATGCTATCATAGTAACTTTAAAGTGAATGGTTGCTACTGAGATAATGGAATAGTATCTGGGATAAGCACATTAGGTTTTAACAAAATGAAGTAAACATGGCAAGCAATAGCTCTGAAGTCACAGCATTAATGAAAGATGTATGCTTTAATTATCAGCGCAATTATTAGTAAAACATCCTCAGTACGAATAAGCAAATATAATTACAATATCTGTGTGATTTAAGAGGGTGAAAAGACAAGCAACGGGCTGGAAGAAAATCTTTATGAAACATATATCTGATAAAGGACTGCTATCTCCAACATACAAATAATTCCTCATGCTCAATAATAAGAAAAAAAAAAAAAAGTAAAAGATGTGCTAAACATCTGAACAGACACTTCATCAAAGCAGATATACAGGTGGCAAATAAGCATACGAAAAGTTGTTCAGCATCACAGGCATCAGGATATTGCAAATAAAGATAACTAGGGTACCACAATATAGCCACTGGAATATTGAAAATTAAAAAAAATAATAATAACAACACTGAATGATGAGAAGAATATGGAACAAAAAATCACTGGCTCTAATGAAAAATATTTCCTTGGCTTTTCTAGGTTCTGGTAGCTCGAGAAATTCCTTGGCTTTTGGCAGTAAAACTCCCATTTCTGCCTCCATATTCTTACCACCTTTCTTCTTGTGTGTGAAGAAGCTTTGGGTGCCAAAGCTCCCTCCGCTTTTTCTTTGTTTGTTTGTTTGTTTTGGTTTTTTAAGATGGAGTTTCCCTCTTGTTGCCCAGGCTGGAGTGCAACGGCGTGTTCTCAGCACACTGCAACCTCCCCCTCCCGGGTTCAAGCGATCTCTCCTGCCTCAGCCTCCGGAGTAGCAGGGATTACAGGCGCATGCCACGACGCTCGGCTACTTTTTTGTAGTTTTAGTAGAGATGGGGTTTCACCATGTTGGCCAGGCTGCTCTCAATTGCCTGACCTCAGGTGATCCACCCGCCTTGGCCTCCCAGCGTGCTGGGATTACAAGGGTGAGCCACTGCGCCAGGCTGCTTTTTCTTTATTAAAGCACTTAACCATTGTATTTAAGGCCCATCCAAGTAATCCAAGATAATCTCTTAAAGAACCTTATTTTAATTATCTTCAAGAACCTTAACTTACATTATATCTAAAAAGACACGTTTTCCAGAGAAGGTCATGGGGTTTCAGGTAATAGAGAATGGTTATATATTTTGGGGGATACTTTTTTTTTTTTTTTTTTTGAGATGGAGTCTCACTCTGTCGCCCAGGCTGAGTGGCGCGATCTCGACTCACTGCAACCTCTGCCTCCCGGATTCAAATGATTCTCTTTCCTCAGCCTCCTGAGTAGCTGGGATTACAGGCACGTGTCACTACACCAGGATAATTTTCGTGTTTTTGGTAGAGATGGGATTTCACTGTGTTGGCCAGGTTGGTCTCAAACTCATGGACCTCAGGTGATCCGCCTTTCTCCGCCTCCAAAATTGCTGGGGTTACAGGGGTGAGCCACCGCACCTGGCCTAGGGGATACTTTTTAAACCACTGCTTACAATCAAATCCTTTAATATAGTTGGAAATTTTAAATTATCTCTTTCTCAAACCTGTTAGAATAATTATATAGAAACCAATAAGGATATAGAATACTCAACTTACCCATCATCCAACTTGAGCTAACTGAAATTTATGGAAAAATAATCAGACTAACAGTAGCAGAATATTAAGCTCACATGCAGCATTAACCAAGACCTTATTCTGTGCCATAAACCAAGTTTCAATAAATTGATATTTTAAAGTTTTGAATTATACATGTAATGTTCTCTGACCACATGAAAGTGAATTTTAAATCAATAAAAGAAAAATGTCTGGAAATTCCCCAATAATTAGAAACTAACACATTTCGGAATAAATAATGTATCAAAGGACATACTAAAAGGATACTTGGAAATAATTTTGAATCAAATAAAAATAAAAGCATTAAATTTCAAAATTTGTCCAAAGTGGCTAACATATTTATTTGAAGGAAATGTACATTTAATGCCTATATTAGAAAAGAATATAGGTGGCATGCGTTTTGTGTGTATACGATGTGTGTGTGTGTGTGTGTGTGTGTGATGATATAGACACAGAGGCAAAAAACAAGATAGATGTCTTCAAGCTATAGAAGCAAAATATAAAAACAAAGCTGTAAACAAAGCAAAATATAAAAACAAAGCTATTTATACGTCTACAGAATTCAGTGATAGTCTGTTTGACTATAGTTAATATTTCAATTCACAAAGAGTAACAAAGTCTAAAGTGATGACTTTGGAGGAGAGTTTGGCTTACTGTGTAAAAACTGGGGCTGGCATAAGTCTTTTCCATTATTAATTAAATGATTGCATTTTCTCAGGTTTTTGTTGAATTTTATTACTGAAATGTAGATACAGGGAGCAAAGCAACCTCACATGTAAGAACTGTGTAAAATTACTTGCTGGCTAACTACACTGAATCTGAGATATGTTTTTTTAATTCCAAAAGACAAGAGCAACAAGGCATAAAGAAATTTTGGTGTTGTCTTCAGTGATCTGTGGGCCTGAGTGACTGCACCTTTCAAACGGTGAAATAAATTGAAAGAAGTTGATAGAAAAATCCAAAATAAACAACATACCAAGTAAAATTTAAAAATAAACCTCACTGAAATGAATTTGCAAATGGAAAACTCATTGCCAGTTAAATAATTTAATGTCAGAGAAAAAAAAAATCTCAAGTAAAAACAGATATCTTTACCCTCAAGGAAATAGATACAATAAATTCCAAAAATATCTTAAAATGTGTTAGTGAAAATAATCTCTTCCTTCAGCATGTGAACCAAGAGCCACAATGTAATGGAACACCTGAGATCCCTATTTACCATTTTTCTTTACTAGGTTCTTAGGAATTTTTGCATCCTATTTTTTTCTTCCACAAGTAGTCATCATCTCTCCACTGACATGTGTGGATACAAGCCCCAAGTATCTTATATTTGACAACAAAATTTATCTTGATCATAACACTAGTTGACACATTGCCATTGTCATTTTTCTCCAATGTTAAAATATTCACACTTACAGATAACTTTGTTTTCAGTGATGAAAAAAAAATGACTAATGTCTAAAAAATAATATTTAGCATCTAACTACATTTAATTTGATCCATATTGGATGAATAAATAGAGACCACACAATGTGTTGATAGTTACAAAATTATTTTAGTATTGAAATCATTAGATTAAATTAAGTGAGTAAATCTGACATGAAGCTGATGATTATAAATACTTGTGCTGATTAGTTATGAGATTAAAAAGAATAAGAGTTGAAAACATATGACTTGTTTTCTCATTTAGCTTTATAAGAAAAACACATATAATTTATTAACTTTAAATATATAAATGAGGTAAAACAATTAAACACATTAAATAAAATATAAAATGAGACAAATTTTTATTCACTTTTAACTTAATACTTATATCAACTTATTGACAGACAACATATTGTGTAAACTGTGTGAACTCCCTCCTGTTGCAACAAGCAATTGCATGATTTATAGCTCTGCTAAAAGTGGCAAAAACAATAAATATATATTTCCAAAAGGTTTTCTAGTCCGTGCATATTTTATATGTACTTTTGAAAACAAAATATTGGGATATTTGGATTATCATAACTATGTGTACATAATGTCCTAGCAACATAAAATCATTAATTCATATTTTGAACTGTGAAATTCTAATAGTCATGGAGTACTTGAAATAACATTAACACCACATTTCTGCTCCTATTTAAACCAAACCATTATGTATTAAGGAGATGTTTTCAATCTGACCTAAGCGGTTCTTCAATGTGGAGCTATAATTCACCATGGATCTTTTGTCAATATTTTAAAGATTTAAATAATAATTTAATATTTTTTACAATGTAATAATTAGTTTAATAATTTGTGTTTGAAAACTAGTGAAGAATGTTTCTCTATGAAACCTTATTAAAAACATTTTTGCATAGTAAATGGAGCTATGGCTGGGCAAAGAGCCCTTTTAATTCATAGGATAAATAAATGCCTGTCATAATAAAACATTTCTTTGATAATGATACACAGTTTGTCAAAAAATACTATCCGTTTTCACCATTAAAAGTAATGGTGATTGGTCCTGGGACGGTGGCTTAAGCCTGTAATCCCAGCAGTTTGGGAGACCGAGGCAAGCGAATCACGAGGTCAGGAGATAGAGAACATCCTGACTAGTATGGTGAAACCCTGTCTCTACTAAAAACACAGCAAAATTAGTCGGGTGTGGTGGCGGCTGCCTGTAGTCCTAGCTATGAACCCGGGAGGTGGAGCTTGCAGTGAGCCGAGATCATGCCACTGCACTCCAGCCTGGGCGACAGAGTGAGACTTCGTCTCAAAAAAAAAAAAAAAAGAAAGAAAGAAAGAAAGTAATGACGATTACTTTTTTGCAATTACTTTTGCACCAACCTAATACTACTACTTCACTTGCAGAATTATCATATCACCTTTAAATATGTGATTACGATTCAGTTGCATGTCAGAAATAAGGGTATTCCAATTAAAATATTTAGTTGAATTTTCAATGCTCTAAATTAAAAAAAAATGAAAACTTTATATGGTAAAGACAGGGTGGTATAGACTCATTTGTCAAGTACTAATAATTTTTCTATCTTTGATATTTGAACAACTGAGCCCCAGAGTTCTTCAATATTGTCTCTAGAAAAATTGTGCTGAAGCACAAAATTAATACTCATCACTGCAGTTTTGTTTGTATGTCATATATCACGTTAAATTTATTTTATACTTTTCTACTCTTTTAAAATAATATTCATACTATCCATCCTGTTAAATCTTTTTTACCGACCACATAAATATTGTTTTATGGGAAGAAGAATTTTTGAGATTCCAGTAGTGCTTGAGAGTTACTAAATAATGAGGATATCTAAGTCATCATTTTCAGTACTCTGAAATAAAAATATATATATTTAATATTGACTTTATTATCATTTTGAATCTTCTCAAAATAGTTAATATTTTGCACTCATTTAAACAAAATAATATGTATCTGAAAACAAGTTATGTTTAGTCAAGTTTCTTCAAATGTTGCTATTGAACTCAATAAACTTAGAGTTGCCAATGATTGTTACTGAAAATTATCAGTGATGGTTTAGTGAATGGGGAAGGCTTTATTAAAAAAAAAATGTTGAATATCAGTATTTCATTAGAAGGTACCCCTTTTAAATATATTTCTGAGAAATATTGCAATTCACATGTACCTGCAAATTGATTTATCAGAAATTAAAAAGGACAATTTTTTTTTTTTTTTTTTTTGTCTTTTGAGATGGAGTAGTTTTGCTCTTGTTGCCCAGGATGGAGTCCAGTGGCTTGGCATGATCTCGGCTCACTGCAACCTCCACCTCCCGGGCTCACGTGATTCTCCCGCCTCAGCCTCCTGAATAACTGGGATTACAGGGACCCAACACAATGCCTGGCAAATTTTTTGTATGTCTAGTAGAGATGGGGTTTCACCATGTTGGCCAGGCTGGTTTTGAACTCCTACCTTCTGGTGATCCACCCTCCTCGGACTCCCAAAGTGGTGGGATTATAGGTGTGAGCCACCACACTCGACCAAGAATGACAATTTTTATTTTAACATATGGAACTATGTAAAGAAATCCATGTTTTTTCTTACTCTTCAAAATTTTTCTGTTATATAGGATATTGTGCAAATATATCTTATTTTTTCCTAAGTATATATCAGAATGGCCTGTAGTTTTGAATACCACTAATTAGAATCAATTTATAATCCACACTCAAATGCAGCTTAGATTGCTGAGTTATTTACCAGTATAGAAGCTTGCTTAGAAGTGCTCCGATGCAGAGGCAATTGACATGCATGCATCTCTTTAAATGAGAAAATATTGTTTCCTAGAGAAAAATATTGAGAAATGCATTTTAACAACTATAAGTAAACTACTGAGGACAAAAGTTATAATATCTTTACAGGCAAGGTAAAATTAGTTGGAAAAATAGGTGAAACATAGATAGAATGCTAAAATGTAGATATAATTGTAATCTGGATTTGGGTTAAATAGCACAGTAGTATGTGGAGTGAAACTGGTATCTGAGTGCCCATAGCTATACATTGGCTAAACATAATAACCTAGGACTCAGGTTTGATTAATGGGATGGGTGTTAAAAATAAATAGGGTAAATTTCACATAAGCATCCTTCTTTCATATATAGGAAAACCCTTGTTAAACTTTTCCTCGAGGCTAAATATAGAATAAAATTCAGCTATATGTCAATTTGTAGCTGGCTGACGTTGTTCGAGTCAATGAGTTTTGTATCAAACTGAATGGTGTCAAAAATTGCATAACATAGTTTTTGTAGAAAAACAAAATGCTGTTTTAATAATATATTGCAATTCATTACCATAAATGTTGATTTTTCTAAGTACATTATTACACCTCAGGAGATGTGATGTTTCTATTCACAATAATCAGAAGTACAAAGGTAGAAAACTAAGCCTTAAATTGCAACATATGATTTTTAAATGTGCTGATCAAATTCAATGTGGGCATGTAAATCTATATGATTTTCTCACATTAGAAATGAACAGATGTACTTTCACAAAAAGTACAGTAAATCAGCTTTGTAACTTTGACAGAAGTTTTGGACTGTTACTGTTCTCCACATAGTAGTTTAGCAAATTTTTTAAAAGATAAATTATTTTTACAACAAAAGCATTGACATTTTGAATAGGATAATTATTGGCTGTATGGTAGTATCTTTCTCTTCAAGATCTTCAAAAATAGTCTTACTACAAGATCCAGCAGTCATGCTTTTAAGTATTTACTTAACTGATTTGAAGTAATATGTCCACATAAAGCCTGACAATAAATGGTTGTAGCAGCTTTATTCATAATTGCCAAAAATAATTCATTGTTGCAACAAAGATGTCATTTGATAGGAGAATGGATAAAAACTTCTGATATCTTTATGTAATCGAATACTATTCAGTGATTAAAAAAAGAATGAGTTTAAGCTGCCTAAAGACATGGATAGAAGGGGGAAGAAAAAGATGCAGATTTAATTAACTCTGGAGATAAATGGAAACTCAGTCAAAAGACAGAAGGCACTGAACTGTAGTTGGTAAATGCATTTTTCCATGGGAGTCGAAGCTCACAACTCTGAGACTGTGAAATATAAATTGAACAATTAAGTAGTAGGTGGTGTATGGTGGGAAACTGGTTTCTCATCATTAGAGAAGGATCCGTGTGGTACTGTAATTGTTGAGAGACCTAAGTATGAACTTACGCAGGGCTTAATATAGATACAGATATATACATATAGAAATATTTACAAACATGTAAATATACAAACATATATATCCTTTCTTTGTCAGCCAAGAGGACCCATGAAATTTTTGTACCACTGAACACAACTAGCACCTAGATCTTATTTTCTCATCCACTTGCCAATAAAATAAAGGACTCCTTGAAGAAATTGCTAATTCTAGGACTGGGTCAGAAAATATACAAGATGAACCTGAGTCATCTTATAGTGCCAGAAAGTGAGGAAGTTTTTAAAATCCACAATGATTACATGTGACAAAAGGTCAAAACTTGCAACTGTTTTAGCTTCTAATGACCAAAGTAGAAGTGATTTGAACAAAAAGTAAGTTAGCATAGCATTGGGCTATAGCTCAAAGTATAAATTAAATATACACGAATCCATAACAACATACATGCAGGAAGGAAGGAAGGAAGGAAGGAAGGAAGGAAGGAAGGAAGGAAGGAAGGAAGGAAGGAAGGAAGGAAGGAAGGAAGGAAGGAAGCAAGGAAGGAAGGAAGGGAGGGAGGGAGGGAGGGAGGGAGGGAGGGGATCAAGGAGACAATTAACCAGGAATCAAGGAGGGAAGGAGGGAAAAAAGAAGGAAGGGAGGGAAACAGACAACTCATGCAAAAGAATTCCAAATAGTTTATGTAGATACTCTGCCTCCAACAAAACTTTCTACCTCATAAATGATGGACTATGCATGGTTAATTCCTTCCAAAGAGTACAGTATAGAAAATACAGTAAAGAAAAAAATGATAACTTTATACTTGAGACATCTGACAAACAGTAGCTCAACTAGGTGATCACGACAATGTACACAGTAAAATCTCATGTTGATACTATCTACCCTTGATAAACTGTGATGAGAATGGCAATTTATGTCAGTGATCTTCCTCTACAAGACCCATAAACTCTAGTCTAATAATGAGAAACCACCCTCAAATAAACCCTAATTGAAAGACATTCTTCAAAGTACAACATCTGTATCCTTCAAAACATTAAGGTCATAAAAAATGTTAATAGACTGAGAAATTATTACATTCCCAAGAAGCTGAAGTAACATCTGAATTTTGTGAGTGTTATAGGCTGCCATAACAGAGAAGCTTAGATTCAGAAAGATAAAAATATACAGTGCAGCTGAGTCTATGGGCTTAATAATGTCTGCACACAACCTGCATGCTTACAGCTAATAGATTTAGAAGATTTCAGATAGGCAATGTTTCTTAGGCAAAATGGAGGCTTAAATTTTACTTCTAATAACTTGATGCATGGCTTTCTTCTTCAATTTCTCTTAAACAGTGTTGAAAATGACTTTTTCTTTCTTCAAAGGTCATTGCATAAAAAAGTAAAGTAAGGAGTAAAATAATGCTTTGGAGACTTCAAACTGCTACACCAATAGTGTATACCTTTTGAGCTTTTATTATTTATTATTATTATACAATATTTATTGAAAATTTTGGCTGCCATCATCCTGATATCTTTTGTATTTTTTCCAAGATAGATCTGACTTCAGCCCAGTTTTTCCTCTGGGGATAAGATATAGTATATCTGCGGGCATCTAGAAGACTATTGAAGCAGTTATCCCTCAATGGATGCCTTTCTTCACTAACTTAATTACATTTCTATAAGTATAATAAAGTTCCGGTATAAAATAAATGGCTTATTACTTTTATTTTGAAAACTTTCTGCAATTTTACAAAATCCTTAATAATAAAAATACTTTTTAAAAATTCACAACTATGCATGGGCCCACACTTTGTATGACACTTATTATAAATACAGTTCAAACTCTTGACAGTTACAAAGATTATATTTGATATGCTATGATATATACCAGAATAACATTGTTATGCATTAAAAATGTGGTTTAACAGGAAATTATATTTAGTATTTCAAAAATCTGGAAAAGATCCTGAGGTCCTCAGCAATTCCCGGGTGATAACATTCTGAATATATGAATAGGAAATATTAAAATTCCCAAATAAAGGGAGAGGTTTGCAGGTGAGTAAATCTATATAGAGGCAGAAGTAAGGAAAACCGAGATCTGTAAGCATAAAACAAAACAAAACTAAAAAACCTGGGCAAAATTTTAGCGCATATAATGCAATGCAAAGGAAGTATGTTCTGAGGTTTTGTTTTAATTCCTATTATCCATTTCACTTAGAAATTGTTGCAAATTCAGTGTCCAAAGAATTGTAACCATTCTCATCTATTATAGGATATTTTCACATTATCTGTGATAAAATGACAACAAATATTTTGTCTCACAAAGGTTCGAGACTTTGCTGGGATTTCTATTAAAATAAAGTACATTGTATATTTGTGGAAACTATGGTAAAGCAGTTAAATAACAAACAGAATCAAGAGAATATATTTATACTGTCTCTTCTTACCAGGGACTAAAAATTTTCCGAATATGAAAAACGCTGAACGTAAAAGAGATTAATTAATGCAAGTGACATTCAACAAATATAAATACAAAAATTTAATTAAAATTTGAAATAAATTATGTCCCACTATATCTTTGTGCAAACCCTGCCACAGACCCTTCTCTCTGTTTTCCCATTTATGCTCTTCTTTATGAAGAGATACAGCAGCAGAATTTTTTTTTCTTTATTTCTTTTAAAAAAGAAAAAAAAAAAAAAACCTGGGATACATGTGCAGGTTTGTTATATAGGTATACATGTGCCATGGTGGTTTTCTGCAACTATTGACCTGTCCTCTAAGCTCCCTCCCCTCACCCCCCATCCCCCAGCAGGCCCTGGTGTGATGTGTTCCCCTCTCGGTGCCCATGTGTTCTCGATGTTCAATTCCCACTTATGAGTGAGAACATGTGGTGTTTGGTTTTCTGTTCCTGCGTTAGTTTGCTTAGAATGATGGTTTCCAACTTCATCCATGTCCCTGAAAAGGATATGATCTCATTCCTTTGTATGGCTGCATAGTATTTCATGGTTTATATGTACCCCATTTTCTTTATCCAGTCTATCAGTGATGGGCATTTAGGTTAGTTCCATGTCTTTGCTATTATAAATAGTGCTGCAATAAACAGACTTGTGCATGTGTCTTTATGTTAGAATAATTTATATTACTTTGGGTATATACCCAGTAATGGGATTGCTGGGTCAAATGGTATTTCTGGTTCTAGATCTTTAAGGAGTTGTCATATGGTCTTCCGCAATGGTTGAACTAATGTATGTTCCTACCAACTGTTAAAAGTGTCCCTATTTCTCCACAGTCTTACCTACATATATTGTGTCCTGACTTTTTAATAATTGCCACTCTGAGTGGCCTAGGATGGTGTCACATTGTGGTTTTGATTTGCATTCCTCTGATGATCAGTGATGTTCAGCTTTTTTTCATGTGTTTGTTGGCCATGTAAATGTCTTCTTTTGAGAAGTGACTGTTCATATCCTTTGCTCATTTTTGATGGGATTGTTTGTTTTATCTTGTAAATATGTTAAGTTCCTTGTAAATTCTGGATATTAGATCTTTGTCAGATGAGTAGACAGCAAAAATTTTCTCCCATTCTGTAGACTGCCTGTACGCTCTGATGATAGTTATTTTGCTGTGCAGCAGCTCTTAAGTACAATTAGATCCCATTTGTTAATTTTGACTTTTGTTGTGATTGATTGTTTTTGGCATTTATGTCATAAAGTCTTTTCCTGTGCCTATGACCTGAATGGAATTGCCTTGGTTTTCCTCTGGATTTTTATGATTTTGGGTTTTACATTTAAGTCTTTAATCCATCTTGAGTTAACTTTTGTATAAGGTGTAAGGAAGCGGTCCAGTTTTAATTTTCTGCATATAGCTAGCCAGTTTTCCCAGCACCATTTACTGAATAGGAGATCCTGCCCCCTTGTTTGTTTTTTGTCATGTTTGTTGAAGATCTGATGGTTGTAGATGTGTGGTGTTACTGCTGAGGCCTCTGTTCTGCTCCATTGGTCTATATGTCTGTTTTGGTACCAGTACCATGCTGTTTTGGTTACTGTAGCCTTGTTGTATAGTCTGAAGTCAGGTAGCGTGATGCCTCCAGCTTTGTTCTTTTTGCTTAGAATTGTCTGGGCTATATGAACTCTTCTTTGATTTCATAGGAAATTTAAAATAGTTTTTTTCTAATTCTGTCAAGAAGGTTAATTGTAGTTTCATGGGAATAGCATTGAATCTATAAATTACTTTTGGCAGTATGGCCATTTTCACTATATTGATTCTTTCTATCCATGAGGATGAAATATTTTTTTATTTGTTTGTATCCTCTCATTTCTTTGAGAAGTTGTTTGTAGTTCTCTTGAAGAGTTCCTTCACATTCCTTGTTAGATGTACTCCTAGGTATTTTATTCCCTTTGTAGCAATTGTGAATGGGAGTTCATTCATGATTTGGATCTCTGCTTGCCTATTGTTAGTGTAAGGGAATGCTTGTGATTCTTGCACATTGATTTTCTATCCTGAGACTTTGCTGAAGTTGCTCGTCAGTTCAAGAAGTTTTTGGGCTCAGATGATGTTTTCTAAATATAAAATCATATCATCTGCAAACAGAGACAACTTGACTTCCTCTCTTCCTATTTGAATACCTTTTGTTTGTTTGTCTTGCTTGATGCTCTGGACAGAACTTCCAACACTATGTTGAATAGGAGTGGTGAGAGATGGCATCCTTGTCTTGTACTGGTTTTCAAAGGAAATGCTTCCAGCTTTTGCCCATTTAATATGATATTGACAGTGAGTTTGTCACAAATAGCTCTTATTATTTTAATATATGTTTCATCAATATTTAGTTTATTGAGAGTTTTTAACATGAAGGCATGTTGAATTTTATTGAAGGCTTTTTCTGCATCTATTGAGATAATCATGTGGTTTTTGTCATTGGTTCTGTTTAAGTGACTTTTATTGATTTTAGCATGTTGAACCAGTCTTGCATCCCAGGAATGAAGCTGATTTGGTCATAATGGATAAACTTTTTGATGTGCTGCTGGAATCAGTTTGCCAGTATTTTATTGAGGATTTTCTCATAGATGTTCATCATTATTTTATTGAGGATTTTCACATAGATGTTCATCAGGGATATTGATTGAGGTTTTCTTTTTCTGTTATGTCTCCTCCCAGTTTTGGTATCATGATGACGCTGGCTTCATAAAATGAGTTAGGAAGGAGTCCCTCCTTTTTGATTGTTTGAGATAGTTTCAGAAGGGATGATACCAGCTTCTCTTTGTATTTCTGATAGAATTCAGCTGTGAATCCATCTGTTCCTAGGCTTTTTTTGATTGGTAGGCTATTAATAACTGCCTCAATTTCAAAGCTTGTTATTGGTCTATTCAGGGACTCAATTTCTTTCTGGCTTAGTCTTGGGAGGATGTATGAGTCCAGGAATTTCTCCATTTCTTCTAGATTTTCTAGATTATTTGCATAGAGGGGTTTTTAGTATTCTCTGATGGTAGTTTGTATTTCTGTGCAGTCAGTGGTGATATATCCTTTATCATTTTTTATTGTGTTTGATTCTTCTCTCTCTTATTCTTTATTAGTCTAGCCAGTAGCCTATCTATTTAGTTTTTTTTTTCAAAAAATCACCTCCTGGTTTCTTTAATTTTTTGTAGTTTGTGTGTGTGTGTGTGTGTGTGTGTGTGTGTCTTTATCTCCTTCAATTCCTCTCTGATTTTATTGTAATTTATCACCTTCTGCTAGCTTTTGGATTAGTTTGCACTTGCCTCTCTAGCTCCTTTAATTGTGATGTTACAGTGTCGAATCAAGATCCTTCTGGCTTTCTGATGTTGGCATTTAGTGCTGTAAATTTCCCTCTTAACCCTACCTTAGCTGTGTTCCAGAGATTCTGATATGTTGTCTCCTTGTTCTCATTGGTTTCAAATAACTTATTTCTGCCTTAATTCCATTATTTACCCAGGAGTCATTGAGGAGGAGGTTGTTTAATTTTCATGATATTGTGCGGTTTTCAGTGAGTTTCTTAATCCTGAATTCTAATTTGATTGCACTGTGGTCTGAGAGACTGTTTGTTATTATTTCAATTCTTTTGCATTTGCTGAGGAGTGTTTTATTTCCAATGTTGTGGTCAGTTTTAGAATAAGTGCCATGTGGCACTGAGAAGAATATATATTCTGTTGATTTGGGGTAGAGAGTTCTGTAGACATCTACTAGGCCTACTTGATCTAGAGCTGAGTTCAAGTCCTGGATATCCTAGTTAATTTTCTGTCTCATTGATCTGTCTAGTACTGACAGTAGAGTTTTAGAGTCTCCCATTATTATTGTATGGGAGTTTAAGTCTCTCTGTAGGTCACTAAGAAATTGTTTTATAAATCTGGGTGTTCCTGTATTGGGTGCACATATATTTAAAATAGTTAGCTCTTCTTGTTGAATTGTTTCCCTTACCATATGTAATATCCTTCTTTGTCTTTTTTGATCTTTGTTGGTTTAAAGTCTGTTTTGCCAGAGACTAACATTGCAATCTCTGCTTTTTAAAAAATTTTAATTTTTTTTGCTTTCCCTTTGCTTTCTAAATTTTCCTCCATCCCTTTATTTTGAGCCTGGGTGTGTCTTTGCACGTAAAATGGGTCTCCTGAATACAGCACACAGATGGGCCTTGACTCATTATCCAAATTACCAGTCTGTTTTTTAATTAGGGCTTTTAGCCCATTT